GACAACATTTGATGATCTCGTTCATCATGACAAAATTGCGATAGGGACAATCGGTGTAGCATACGTTCATAGAGACGCAGTTACTATATATGCAGCGTGTACTGAGAATCTTTCACTGAATATTATAGACGTGGCATTAAATTGAAAGACTCATGATGGAAGTTAAAATTTGCAATCGAATTCATAATTTCACAATCGTTGGAGAAAAAAAACGAATTTTTTCAAATAAGGCTAAATGATCTGCAGTTCCTGGTTTCCAATAATTGCGAAGCGTAGGACTTCTAAACTGTATAGCCTCCCTGACATCTAGCGTTAAATCGACGTCGATTTAATTGTTTTTAGGTTAAATTGACGATTATTTAATGTTGTTTCAACATCATTTGCCTGGTGGGAGAAGTTATTCGCAAAATGATGAATAAATTAACAGACATCGATTTTGAATGCTAGATGGTAATACTGGAGTAAAATTGATGAAAAATTTTGAGTTAGTGCTTAACGTCTGCACATATCGAACATTAAATATTTGGTAAAGGATATTAAAGAATATTTTTTTCAAGCGCTCAAATTTTCTTTTAAAGTAAATGCAATCTTTATCAATACTAATACAATGCAATCCAACATATTATTATCGCAAATTAAATCATATCGAACAATCACTGTACGCTGTTTTTTGGACTACTTGTAGTCCTAATATTAATTTTATTTAAATTTGGTTTCTATCCAAGTGGTAGTTTTTAAAACGAGATAAAGTAGGGAAATTTATATTTTCCAAAACTTCTGATCATCTTCGTTGCATTCAAACAAGAATATCCTGCATTTCTTATTTCGGTTGATCCAACCGAAGCTCAGAATGTTTACTCAAATTTCATACGTACAATTAGATTACGGCGACTGTAGTATCGGAATTGTTTTGAATTTAGCTCATTTTTCTTATTGCTCTCATTTTGACCTTCCCTACTTACAACTCTTTCATTATATGCTTGACTCATTTTTCCCTATTGCTAAATAAAGTGAGCTCACTCTCCTTACAACTCTCCCTCGTGAACTTGACTCACTTTTCCCAATTGCTCACTAATTGCGAAATCACTATCCTTGTCACTCATTCATTTTGAACTGGACTTTTCCTATTATCCATAATTTTCGCGTTTTTTTCATGTGCCTTCATTTTCTTTCTATTTGGTTTTATGCGAGTGAAGTTAAAACAAGAAGATGGGGGCATTTACCATCCAGGGCAGAGATTAACGAAACTTCGCTAAGTACACGTAACTTTTCGTACTTACGTTCAAAAAGTTACGTATTGCGTAAGTCAGTCAAAATTTGGCATTAACAAAACTGTCTTACGCAAGACTCATCTGAAAAGGTATAATCGAAACCATCCAACTAACTGACCAATCAGAGGCTTCGAATTTGCCATTACTAGCTCCTGTCGACTCAGTGCGCAGTGCGCGTGGATGAAAGGAGGTTGTATTGTGTCAGCGTCATTTGCGTTGACTGACTATAGGGAGCATATGGAGAAATGAGTGAGACGTCTAAATAGCAATGACAACGCCTTGATTGTAATTTTTTGCAATCAAGGCAAAAAATTACATTTTTTCCATTCAAAATTTGAGGACTTTTTAGAGAGCTACGTAAATCAATAGTTTTGTATTGCTTCGGCACACTCAAAACGTCTACGTAACTCCACTTACGGCACCTCCGAGCAGGCGTAGAGCTACGTACGGCTTTTTGTACGTAGCTTCCCGCGCAAATGTTTTGATAATACCACCGCTAGAGTTACTTCTTCATATCAGCACTTACGCCACACGTAAGTCGCTACGTGTACTTAGCGATGTTTTGATAATCCGGCCCCTGGACTTGGGATGCCTTTCTTGCATGTACACTTTCTAATTTCATTTATAACAATTTCGAAACTCGAAAAATTCTCTATATCACAATTTTTGGCGTACTTTTCTCAATCTGAAATGTTGACCGCACGGTTATACGTGCCATCTCATGCCAGGTAGATATTATTATTTACTCAATGATTCAATTAAAAGGAAACATGATGATGTTATTATTATAAATTATGTGACACACAGTGTAAAATTATTTTCATGATGCATGCCATCACCCATCACTATGTAGCATTCATTGTGTCCATCAAAAACTTTCATGCTTGATTATTAAACATTCATGTTATAAAATGGAATCTTGCACGATTGTAAACTGCGCTCTAAATTTGAGCCAAGGAATAAATTGTTTTACTATTTAATTCAAGACATTTCTGAAGCTTTGAGTTATGAACGCAACGCCATCAGTCTCACAAGAAAGAACTTCAGAAATAACGTCCACCTTGTTCTGACGTTCAGATTTGTCCCTCAATTTGTCCGTAGGGATTAAACCCACATTAAATTTGTCAAATGCAATAGGCCACTCGGGATATTCACAATTTTTCATCATCATGGGAGCAACATCACTCAACTTGCCAAAATCAAACAGCACGAGAAATTAATTTAGGAATATCTGGCTGGCGAAATTAAATTACAACCTTCGTCTGCCTCGTAGATTTTTGAGTAAGATATTTACCTTATTAACTTGGCAGATGGGACGTCAACTTGAAAACTTCAATAACCCTGTCGACAGAAAATTTTCATGACTTGACAAATCAGACGCCAATCGGCCGCCAGCTATATTAGGCTACTAATTAGGAGCCGTTTTCGGGAGTCACAAACCCTAGGGACCGAATCTGCATAAGACAGGCGGCTGAACAGACTGTCCCACGCACACCCTGCTCAGTAGCTGACACGAGTTCTTAGCGCGAGCGTGACCAGCCCATGATTCAGAAACCCAGACAATGCAAGAGAAGGCACGCACTTCTACAGTCGCGCATTTCAACTTTCATGCATTCTCTAATACACTTGATATGAATGTTTTTTTTTTGCTCACGTAAACCGCTTCGACACTTTTGGGACAAATTACTGTGGAGCGAATATTTAGGATCGCGCCAGTGTTTGTGAGAGCTTCATTACGCCTGCAATGATTGCCCATCGACATGCAATCATTACGTTTGTTTAACTAACATGCGTGCATTGCGTTGTCTTCGACCCGCGTGCCGTGCGTTCATGCCAAGACGCTTGCGTTACATTTCCGTGAACACGCTTCCGTTACGCTTGTGCGAACTCCCTTGCGATATGTGTACAAGAACACGCGTGCATTGCTTGTACGTTAAGAAGCGTGTATTGCGTGAGTTCATCACAACACCAACGTTAAAGAGGCAAGAGTACTAAACAATCCCCTTTATACTCCCTATTGAGGGTTGGGGGTAATCAACTACCCGGCTTGAGAATATGCTGGGCAGTGAGAGGTAGTTTGGACTTCGGAAACGCTGAAATTAGGCTGTGGTTAGTGATATACGGTTCTTCGTCCCGTGCGAACGTCGGGTGATACACGCATCTCATTCAAATTGTGTAATCTTATCGTGTATAGTAAAGTCTACAGCTTGAAACAACTCAGTGTTAAAAACTGAATATTTTCGTTTTTTGACATTTTCGGCAATACAAATTCCTTAGTTTTTGTGATCCAGTGCTTTCTGAAGTGAATTTAGTTGCAATACTTCTTATCGGCAGGCGGTATTAATCATGAATACGCAATTGTGCGTTCAATATTTTGGTAGAGGTCGTCGGTAGTCTTAAGGCCGGTCCACACGCTCAGTTTTCACAACGATTTGTCTGCGCAGTTTTAAGTCGGAATGAAATCGTTGCAATTTTTAGAGCGTCCACACGGTACCGACTTATCTGAGTAGTTTGCTCAGTTTTGCGCGATCTCGCCATGGAGACGTCTCTGACAAATTTACGGCCGGTCTCCCCAAATTCGGTGAGCATAGAATATCTCCCAAAGTAATGAACGTAGCTCGATAAAACTTGGTACACGTATTCATTAGGACTTGACGGTGATGTTTAGCTTGTGGACATTTTTAGAATTTCACCTTCATTCCTGAGTTATATGACGATACGTGCCGAAATTTGCAGTGAGCATGACATTTATTCATAACTACCATACAGATTTGAACGAAACTTTGAATATATAAACCTAACCTCCCAACGGCGATGTTTAGCTCGTGACAATTTTTTAGATTAGATAAAGCCGCGTAACTCGCAAACGAAGGCAAAATCGAAAATAATTGTCACGTGTTAAACATTACCGTTAAGTCCTAATGGATACGTGTACCAAGTTTTATCGAGCTACGTTCATTACTTTGGGAGATATTCCATGCCCATCGAATTTGGGGAGCGGGAGACCGGCCGCGAGTCCGGCCGTAAATTTGTCCGAATCGAGCCATGGAGAAGACAGTATTTTGATAAATTTTGGCATTGTGTCTTGTTAAAAAAAGATTGGATTTGGATCATTTAGGGAATGCGAGGAATCAAAATACAAGAGAGATGGCTTGTAGATGTCTTTTTCTCCAGGTCCAGATGGAATCAATTTTTTTATTTATTCCCAGTTATTTACGGTAAATGCTCCTCAACTTGTTTTATACCTAGCTGTTTCTCTGTTTGCCCTTTCATCGATTTATTTATTTTTTCTACTAAGCCCTTGTATGTCTCTACCTTTTTTTGTGCTTGTTACTATAGTCATTGAATTTTACTCGCCAAATGAAAGAAAAACTTTCGTAAAGAAGAGCAATAAATTCCCGAGAACATTACCGAAGGTCCGCCATTGTCGTCAGAATCATTGAAACTGAGCACAAATCGAATCGGAAAACTGTGCGACCGTCCACACGTTCCGACTTGTCTGCGCAGTTCATCGAAATCTATGCTCTGTAGCTCAGATTTCGATGGAACTGCGCAGTTTTCCCGCCGGCTCCAAAACTGCGCAGTTTTCCCGTCCACACGCAACGTTTTGTCTGCAACGATTAGAACTGCGCAGACAAATCGTTGTGTAAAACTGAGCGTGTGGACCGGGCTTTCCTGCCTCAGGGCTTGGAGGAGTTCGTCGCCAGCAGCGGCGACCACGGCGTCATCACTTCAGCCTCGGCAGCTACGCCAGGAGCTCTGACATTCCAGCGCCGGCAAAAGTGAGTCATAGAGACTTACAATGCATATATGCTTAATATAGAGTTAAATGAGTAATGGTATGGTGACGATGAAATTCATCACCACTGAAAAGTGGCTGTTTTTTAATTTCGTTAAAATTGTTGCTTCAAAATCTGCTACGAAAAACGTCGATGCAAATTTTGGAACAATATATTTAGAATGACAAATTTTCCTCATTTACAACAAAATTTTGTTCGCCTAAAAGATGGAAATTATTTTTCTGTCCCGGCAAATCTATTGTTATAAGAAAATCCTTATCACACTAAGTTCCTTTAATAGATAGTCATTGGATTAATTTAAATTCATTCACATGATATATTTTTATTTTAAACTGACAACAGAAATATATCTGTTATTTCATATTCATCGGTTCGGAATTTATTCCTTTGGCACCGCCGACCATTCGTATCTTCTTGTTGAACAATGATTTTTGCCAAGAATGCCTGTACCGTTTCAGATATTCTGTTACAGAACGCGTTTAATATTTTTATATTCCTAATAACAATTTTGAAAACATTTATTAAACAGGCCATCCGAAAACTCGAGTGTTCATCTCGCACTGCGGCATCATGGGTGCGCAGGAGGCCAAGTACCACGGCGTACCAGTGCTCGCCGTACCAATCGCCTTCGACCAGCACCGCAATGCCGCGCGGATGGTGCGCCAGAAAGTCGCAATATCGCTGTCGTGGAACACGGTCACCGCGGATCAAATTGTTGATACTCTCAATATCCTCGTTAACGACACAAGGTGAGGTCATTAGGTAAGGTTTCTATTAATATAATTCCATGCGATACACGTGCCCACTGCAGAAGCGAAGTGGTTTTCCGACATACATATATAGCCGTGTCCAGGCCTTCGGATGTGGCATCTGATCATCAAACTGATTTATTAAATAGTCCAAAAATTAGGATGAATTAAGGAACAAAATCAATCTCTGAGCTCTACAAATCATCAGAATATGTATATCTCTGTTTTCTAACTGCATCTTTTCATCTGCAGCTACTCGGAGCGCCTGCGTCACACGTCCGCCGTCCTGCAGGATCAGAAGGAGAGTCCCGCGGACCGCGCCGTGTGGTGGGTAGAGTACGTCATCCGGCACGGGGGGGCGCCGCACCTGCAGTACCCCGGCCAGCGCCTGCATTTCCTGCAGTACATCTGTGCAGATGTGCTGCTGTTCTTCGCTGTCTGCACTTACTTTGTGAACAGACTGGCTAAATGCATCTTAATCTATTCATGAACTTGTGCTCTGGAAAAGCTGATCAAAAAACTAAAATTAATTAACTTTTCTGAGATTAACCAAAAAATGATCGTCAATTGCTGTTTACGTCATTTATTCTCAAATAATGCTTCGAGTTTAAAGCTCTGTGTTAACATTAGCTGGAATATGTCAAGAAAATTGAATTTCATGGCCTTATGAATCTTTTAGTTCCAGATGACTTAATATCCCAAGAGCAGCAATAAATTTCAATTGTCAAGTTATGTGTAATTTCCGAATCTTCCATGCATTGTACATCCTTGTCGGTGAAATTTCTGACACCACTATTCATTTTTCTTCGCTCAATTTCGCGCGAGTTACCTTTTAAACCATAATGAATATTGATAACGTCCAAAGTTTGCATGACCACTGAAGTAAAGTAACAAATCAAAAAAATCCATCCGACTGACACAAGTCATGAGAATTATCTAACGACAGCGTTATTAAAGTTTTCAAGTTGACGTCGTCCCATCTGTCAAGTTAATAAGGTGAATATTCCACTAAAAATTCATGCTGCAGACGAAGGTTGTAATTTCATTCCGCCAGTCTGCAGATATTCCAAAATTAATTTCTCGGGTTGATTGGCTTTGGCAAGTTGAGTGATGTTGCTCCCAGGATGATGAAAAATTAATTACGTGCCGAGTGGCCTATTGCATTTGACAAATTCATTGTTCACAGAAAAAGAGGCGTAAAAAAGGAATAAAAATTTGTTGGCAGATTATTTAGTTTCAGTGAAAATTCCAGCTTAATTAAAGTAGACGCGGGGTGCTAAAAAGTGACTGTGCATAATATGCGAGACAACTGCCATTGACATATTCGAACGTGACATATTTTTATAGTTTATTGCTTATTGTTGCTGCTAATTGAGATTTTATCATTGTACAGTCATTTTTAGTAAATTTTGGTGTCTATAACCTAACCTATAACCTTTAAATGGCAAACCTCACTGACTTTCAAAGAGGCCAAATTGTTAGTGCCTGTATGGCAGGTTCTAGTGTGACAGAAACTTCTCGAATGCTTGACATTTCTAGAGGCACTGTCTGAAAAGTAATGACTGATTTTGAGAGAGAAGACAAGCGTCCTCAGCAAAGCACAGATCGGGCCGAAAGACGAAGTTGTCTCAACAAGACCGCCGTTTCAAGTACGAATGATTCGAAGAGTTTAGACTGGTGTAGAAACCTCCAAAATTGGTCCCTCGAGCAGTGAAAAAATGTGATTTTCTCTGACGAATTATCGTCTGCCTTATTTCTAACCTCTGGTCGAGTTTAAGTTTAGAGACAGCCAAAAGATTCATTTAATCCCGACTGCCTGCTCCAAACCGTATAACATGGCGGGGGATGCGCGATGATCTGGGGTGCTACTTTCCAGAAATCCGCCCGACCTATATGAGCCGTGACTATTTAGGAATTTTGAAGGACCAAGTTCATCCAGTGGTTCAAGCACTGTGTCCGGAGAGGAACGCCATCGTTCAAGATGATAATGCCCAGAACCATACAGCTGAAATTGTTAAAAAATGGCACGAGAACATTCTATGAAGTTGAACGTCTCGTTTGGCTACCACAATCACCAGACCTGAATATTATTGAGCATTCATGGTCGAGTTTAGAGATGCAGATCAAAAGTCGATTCCCCGCCGCCATTGTCTTGAAAAAAGTTGGGGGAGATTTAACTGAAGAATGTCTTAAAATTGATTTGAGAACAATTTACAATTTGTATGAATTAATACCTAGAAGAATGGAACTCCCTGTTAATACCCTGTAGTGATGATACTCCAAAAAATTTCGAACGTAATACAATAATATATATATCATATTTCGGATAGAAGTAAGCACGGAATTCAATATCACGGAAAATTTCGTTAGAGAAGAATTATGTGACGTTTGACGTTTGGCACACATCTGTTCTGTAATTTATAGCACTATCATCTGAATTCTTGAGCAAAACGAGTCAAACCCTCTGCAATTGAAATAATGTTATGAGTGTCCATTCATATGACTCATTCTTTACTAAAATTCAGGCATGAATTGTCGATAAATTATATTCCCAGATCTAGCGAAGCCTATGCAAAGAAACCGTCAAAATTCCGAATTAATTTCCAGCCGGATAGTGGATATTTCCGCCTGCCGGACCCCTGAATAGCCGAGGATATCAGTGGCCGGACGAGGGAATATTTAGACCAGCCCGAAAATAAATGTCGCCACAATGTTATGGAAAATATTTATTTATACGAAGTAGGAACGTGGTGATGTTTTTGTTTTCGTGTAGTGGCAGCTTCTACGCTGATCATGCAGCATTTATTTATTGGGGCCTTGTTGCTCAGCTGCCCCGTATCATTTATACCTTTAATTGATGTGGTAAAGCCTGCATAAAATTCAGTTTTTAAATGGTTTTTACTATGATGTTTTGTACTGTAAACCTGTTTTTGTTATAACTAGTTATTCATATCGTATTGTTGATGCACAATGAATATTCTCAATCTACGTATTGGTTGACTGTTCTTCGTACTGTGGTTTGTCTGTGATCCGCCCCGAATAGATCAGTTCTGTTCATACTTAATTGGCCTCTGCAATGAATTCCTGAATGACGCCTTTTAGGCACCAAGAAGACCAGATTGTGCAGCACTGGCTTGAAGAAGCGCTGTTTTTCTAATATAATTCATTTTACATTTAGCAGTTACTATAAAAAAATTAGCTGGTCAGTTCGCGAATGCGGTACACTGAATTATTTCGTCCACTCCATCTACTTGTATACAGCTTTGTTCAAGGCAGGGAGTTAACCTTATCAGTCTTTAAATTAACCTTATCAGCTCCAGCGGTAAACTAACTATTATTTTTTATTATTAAATTTAAAATTATATTAACCTCTGCCTAACTTTGCAGCTCTGAATTGAGCATTAACACATGAAAATTTTAAAGTTTTAGCAATTAGGATTTATCGAAGGGCCCAAACCGTTTATCCTTCTACCAACTATATTTCTGCGTATTATATAAGCATTGCCTTTTAAAGTATCTTGCATCCTACGCAATTACTGCAATCAAACTTTAATACTACCTAATTAAGATGAGTTAACAAACGTAGAAAGTTGCAAAGCCCTGGCAGTAACGTTTAATGCTGTTTCGCTATCGAAAGTATCATGTATTGCGTAGCAAATGACTTGACTGACCTTTGTAATTGTAAAATCTGGTTGTCGTAAATGTCTGTTTATTGCAAATGTCAGGTTTTCGTACCAAGCGATGATACTAGAATACTCGATCGCTAAGATGTTATGTGGAAGATTTTGTAATTAAAATTCTAAGTCGCAGATAATAAAGTAAGAAGTATTTAATAAGTATTTCAGTATTTAAAAGTGGTTTTGAGTAATGAAAGTTAGCAAATTGCATGAAAATGTTTTTAAGTAATGTTCTTAAGTTCTTGGATGTCTGTTGCTCACTTCAGTGTATGAATTAAGTGTTATTGAGCATTAATTGAAAGTCAGTTCGGTGTGCGAAGCAGAGATTGAAGACCGCTTTTATAGTGTTTTGCTGCCCGTTTTGAATATTTTGTTGTACCTACCACATAATTCTTATTCAGAAACGCATTCTATTTAACAATCATTGGATAATGCATCGGAAATCACATGTACATCACGAGAATGTAAAAAAGTTGAAGAAAATCGGTGTGAAAATTTGCCGGCGTCATAACAGTTGTGATAGAAATATTTCATGATTCATCTTATTGAGCACGGCTAATAAAAAGGCCGGAAAAGCATTTAAAATTTCAAATTAATATCGTACGAGGGGAGTTAAAGCAACCAGACTTTGTGAAAGATTACGGGGAAGCACGCGCTTAATTAAACGTGTCATTTTGTGGACAATAAAGGATTTGCATTGTTAAGTGTGCTCATAGCATGCAGAAAAATTTGTGTTTTTAATGTATAACAGCCCGAATTACGATCGAAATGCCGTTCTTATATTTGAACTGTTGTTTACAGTGTTAACTATATAGATATTTATTACAATAAACTAGTTTGTAAAATTTGAAATAATGAAATTAAAATCTGTTAAGAAATGGTCAAGCATTAATTACGCATTGACTTGCTCAATTAATAAGAAAGTTTTTTAGTTTATAGATGATCTAACATCGTCATCATGATATCCAATATCTTGTTGTACGGAATCATGCATCAGTAACATCAAAGAACCTCAAATATGATTACAAATTCGCCGTATTTTGCCAGAGGTGTGGCCATTAGGGTGCGTTCGGTTGTCAAGTGTCGAATCAATAGGGAAGAAAAACTAGTAACCTGTGATAAAAGAACAAGCGTTTATCCTTTAATGGTTCAGAAATGCATTTATCTTGATAAGTTTTCAGATCATGCACAATAAAAAAATTTCAGGATAATATCGAGGTCGCGCTATCTTATAACCTGGACCGACATTCGTAAAATCATTTGATAGCACCAATCATTGAAAGCTTGAAGTAAGGCTCGGGAATTGTCTATCTACTTTCTTTTTTATTTGGAGCACGAACATAAAGCGTCATTAACAATTAAATTATTAAAAATTAATATAGTTTCATTAGTAAATTAACAAAACTTGAGTAGTAAAATCGTCGTGCAGACTTCAATTAAGTACATTTGAGAGTCATGTATGTAGCTTAGAAAATACATGTCTAGTGTGGCATTGAATAACAATTGAAAAACTTATGGATGTGTAAATTATTATATACAAATCAGGGATTTGGTTAACCACTGACAAGTAATTGAAAACGTTATCAATTGCTTTATTGTTCGAACTTTAGATTAGACGTACAATATAGGGCGAAATTTTTGCATGGCGCTTGCTCCCTCCAATAACATTCCACTAATTATAATTAGATCCATTTAATTAATAACATGAATATTTGATAATCAAGCAAAAATAATAATAATCAATAATCAATGCAAATTATTGATGAACACAATGAATGCTAGTGATGAAATGCGTTAAGAAAATATTTTTACA